ATACATAAACCGAGATCTCAGCAGGATGAGAGCAGCTGTATGAATTCAGCTCTTCTGATGGATCTTCTGTTCCTTCACTTTACCACCTAGGGCAATTCTTATATTACAAGAAATAAGAGAGAAAAAGTAAACGAGAGAGATTAAGAAACATATGGTATACCAAGGTCTGCGGTGAAATTCTTCCCACTAATAAAAATAGAGAATTTTAATAAGTCACCAGTTTTTAACTATTTCATAACTGTATAGTTCATACATAAAGACCATCTGAAATGGGCTGGTATTACCACCAGATCCAGGAAGAATGGAAATATAAAGAGGAAAATGTTGTTCTTGCTAAGGACAATCTGGCAAATGATTGGCACCAGGAAAGGGTCACTCAGAAAAGTTGAATATCAAAACTTTGACAGGATTCCTTCCTACTGTTAGAGATACTTCACACAAAGTAGCTGTTACGCACTGAAATGTGTCCCCCTGAAATTTATATGTTGACATTCTTAACCTCTTATCAGAATGAGAGTGCATTTAGAGATAGGGCCTCTGAAGAAGTAACCAAGTAAATGAGGTCACTAAGGAAGGCCCTAATCCAATATGACTGGTGTCTGTATAAGATGAGACAAGGACACACACATTCACAGAGGGAAGATCATGTGAATACATGAAGTCAAGGAAAAAGACTTCAGAAGAAACCACCTTGCCAGTGCCCTCATTTTGAACTTCTAGCCAGAAAAATCATAAGAAACGATTGTCTATTGTTTCCACCAGTCAGTCTATAGTCCAAGGAAACATGTTTGACAAATGCTGGTGTGGCCAATTCTTGATATTTCAAGGTCAGTGACAGCACATCAATTACCAGCTTAAATTTTTTTTCTAGTTCTATTTCATTAACATACTTGCCAGAAATTGTCAATAGGATTTTTTAATAAGTTTTTTTATTATGAAACTGTGGGTATTATAGCTCTGTTTTAGATTATGAGCTTCATTCAAGTAGGAATTCTTTTTTGTATATCTATAACTGTCCTCATCATATCTGGGACATAATATTTCTAGTGCTTTGGGCAGTGCTTGACACACAGTGGGCACCCAGTAAATAGTATAAGTAGTAAATACTGTGTGAATCAGGAATCCTACAGTATTGGTAACTTTCCTCATTTTTACTAACAGAACTTAAGAGACTTTCCCAAGATTAATTTAGTTTTGGTGTATAAAAGATAAAAAAAAAAATTACACTCCTCTTTTCTTTCTATATTCTGAACTATCAGGAAGACAAAAGAGTTTGAAAATAGAGACTGGAATATCACCTTTATTACTTAGACTAAATCAAGTAACATGATATAGATGTGTAAGAATCAATACAGAACCCTAATATTAGACAGACTTTCCTACCAGTTTCAGATAACTGGATTGGCTGAAGGTCTCACCATATAAAATATACAGCATGAAGGCTGGTGGAGGGGACAGAATGATTCTTTCCTGGGTAATTGGATTCTATAAGCAAGGAGAGGAAGGATAGAGTAGCATTTGACACACAAGAATAATAGAAGCCACCACTGCACATCTCCTAGAGACCTATGCAAGAAGATAAAGAAAACTCAGGAGAGTTAATCTAGTGGAGCATCTTCCCTCCAGGGAAGAAAAAGTCAGGAGGCAGAAGGCACCCTCCCTTCCATGTGCCCATGGGCCTCCCTGGTGGCTCAGCGGGTTGAGAACAGCACTGTGATGCTGTCCACAGTCTCTGCAGTGCAGGTTCTATTCTAGCTGGCCGAGGAGATACCCACATGGCGTGGCAGACCTCTCCTGTCTTGCCCACTGCTCCCCTCAGCAGTGCTTTCAGTCCATCTGCCTGTTCTTCTCCCCACTCTGGTTAATTCTCTCACACTCTCATGCCTCTGGCATGTACCCCAGTTCTTGTATAAATAAATAAAAATAAATCTTTAAAAAAATGTGTCCAACACTCAGACTCAAGTCTTCTGACATCAAGACTTCCTTTACTACATCTGCCTTATTATAATGACTCAGCAGAATTGTGAATAAAAGAGAACTTACCTAAACATGAGTTTGGGTTTCTTCCTAAAATTAAATTGTGACCATCAGTCTTTAACAAACTATTTCTACAGCCTTAAAATAAAGGCTCTAGATTTGGTACATGGCAGACAAATAAATAACATAATGATTGTTTAATGAAATTACTACCAAAAGAAACAGCCTTGGAACATTTCTGACCTACTACAGACTTGAAAGGGAAGAGACTTGAAAATAAAAAACTGAGAATAGAGGCGAAGTAGGGAGTGGGGTGTTGGGATATTTCCTAGGATATTTTCAGCTGTATTAGTGCAGCTCTTTGCTGTTTTCAGAAATAAGAAACAAAAGAATTTGCTCTTTGGTTTGTCGATTAGCTCTGAGTACAATAGTAAGGAATTACTGCATACCACCACTTCATAAATGTTAACAAGTGTCCCTCAGTGCGGGAGAACCCCTGATTTATAGTCTTCGCTGATTTCTGCTGTGTAAATACTCCGGCCCATTTTAAGTTCCTACAGCATATCATACAACTCACAAAATTCTTGAAAATTTAACAATAAGCTATCATGAGTCAATGCAGGTCTGGTACAGAACACCCCTGTCAAAGAAGAGAAGCACCAAAGACAGAAAAGCTCCATTGGAAAGGGTACAGATTGCTACCTGAGAGTCTCTGTGCTTTAATAAAGCAGGTAAACCAGAATCTTGGAGGCCCACACTTATCCAGTGAAGTTCTGCTTGGGAGATGGATTAACTTCCAGCACACTGAATGTTCAGGACCATGTCTAGGCTAAGTTGGAAGGTAACCTTACAGGTTTCCCATCATTATCTAATTTCAAACATTTAAAATGGGTAGTGGGGGAATAGAAAAAGCTACAGAGGGAAGTGAAATTTTTTCTTGTGTCAAAAATAGCAATACAGATCTTGGCTACTATTCTAACCTATCTACCAGGACTTGAGTTATTGCTTGACAACAACCTTTCTGGTTGTTGGATACTAAGCCTTTTCAATAGAAATAAGCAATTGCCAAGGTAATTAGTAAACATACTGAACATTTCCACTGACCACATGCTGAGAATAACAATTAATAGCTTACATGCAGTATGTAAAAAATGACTAAATGCAATTTTATATACACACACACATCTAATATATTCATATACACACATATAGGTGAATATGTATACATATGGCTTATGCATGCATAAAGGCACCAGATGAAACTTTAATTTTTAATAGTGCTTTTTTTGGTTCTAATGAAACCAACTGTGGATCTCTTTCTGAGTGCACAGTGACTTTCCTTAGGTAGTTAATTAGAGACTGTCTGAGCACAATGGAAATACAGAAAGGTAAATTAAGATTGGAAAAACCTAAGATGATAAAAGAGATTACAAATGTATTAAAGATTTAGCAGTTGGAGGGGGTAATGGAATGCAAACTTTTTACAGTTCTTAGATATTTGCATACTAGATTACTGTTGCTACACTTGGAAATACAGTGTAGAACACAGAAGTCAGGCAAGGGGAGAGTTTTTGCCTCAGTGTAATTTGGTAGTATTATGTTGTCTTCCCTAAGCAACAGTGGATTGCTCTTTTGTTCTCTCTTCATTTCTTTCTCTGTCTCTCTCTTGCTTAGAAAATGATCAATAAAGTCTTCTTTCTTTTTTGGAAATATTTGAATATAGCCTTCCTAGCATTTACTTAATTGGGATTATTTCATTCTTTGGAATGTCCACCTTTTAGTTTTTGCATTTGTTCTTCTTAAATTTCAACTCATTGGAAATTCTCTTCGCTATTGTAAGGGTTTATTTGGGTGCCGTTGAGTAGGGGAATTTTAAGAGAGTGGTTAGACTCACAAGTTTTTCAGGTCACAGCCTACACTCATTAAGCCTGGGCCTCACACAAGACATATGGTTCCAACTCACAGCTCTACCCCATCTGTCTATAGTAGCTGGAGCAAGTGATTTAATTTCTGAATTTTCACTTTTTCTTTCTGAATTTCTAAATTTTCATTTTCTCCTTTGTAATTTGAGAATTATTATATGTTGCAATGTAATACTTGTGGCTTTTAAATAATTTTGATTCAGCTTTGTAAGTATCTGGTTCATTGCCAAATTCAGAGAAATTGCTCAATAGTTGCGAGCTCCACCCGTCTACTAAATTTTTCAAAATCTATTTTTCTAATATCTAGACTACTTAATCTAGCAATAGGATCTGTTAAATATTTGATAGGACAGTCCCATTTTCTGAAACAATCTATTAGCAGTCCTTTAACAGTTGATTGCTTCATATTGGTGAGAAACAACTCTAAGGCAGTGGTCTTCAAACATGAAGGGGAAAGATATCTGAATCGCCTTGAAGGGATTTTGCAAAGACAAATGCTCTCTCTTCACTGTACTACTCAAGGGGACATCCCAGATCTAGGAGGTCAGTTCTTCTGGTTATTACTCAGCACTCTGAAGAAAGAACAAGTCATCAAATAAGCAAGGCGATAATTTAGAAGATATTTAGTTTGTAGAAGAATGAGGTTCAACTAATGTCTGGGTGCTGCCATCCTTCTATTACTAGTAAGACAGCTGAGATTTTAGAGAGAATAATATATTTTACCCAAAAAATTATAGATTTTTTTTTCAACCTCAGGTTTTTCTCAGCTTTTTTTTCTAAAAATATCTATCTTCTGTCCCTGTGTCAAGATTTGATGATATCTATGATAATATTTCACATATTTAAATAAATTCTTTATAATTAATGTTACATATTGACATTATACCTGTCTGAAGCACTTGATGCCCTTATTTAATTCCTCTGTGAAATCAGGTCTTCTCTTTCAATACTACATTAAGATATAGCCATTATCAACCAACTAGTAAGTTTTACTTTACCTGCTTATATTTCTTCTTTAATGCCTTCCCCTCGTATCAAGTCTACTTATTTTGACCAGTACATACCAACAAAACCTTTTTTCTAATTCCATTGTTTGCGTACCCTAAGTGATGGTTGGGAATATCAAATTCTGATGTTTTAGAGTCTTCCAAACATCCTTGTTGATTTTTCAAGATTCACAATCTGAATTTAAAAAAGAAAGTAATTAAACTACAGCCTGCCTTCTTTCAACCTTAACAGGACTTTTGATTTGCTAGGGAAATAAGGTAAGTTCTCATGGTTTCATGTATATCAGCCTAAACAGCTAGTAGGATTTTCACTGGATCATCTAGAAAATATCAGATACATGCTCAAGGAACACGATACTCAACCTTTTAGACAGTCATTTCAAATTTGGATGCAGCAACCTTTATGTGCCTCTAAGGAAAGACTTCTTCTGATGCCAGTACCTGTTCATTACATTTGTAGCTCCCCGTGAGACTTTCTTATTACTCTCTGCTTCTAACAAATAGGTTCAGTGTCTCAGCATTTTCCCTCCTCCTCCTCAGCCATGTTCTTCCATCTAACAGCCCCTAAATATTGCTGTTGATTCTCTTCCATCTTCACAGGGGATATTGTTTTCTTTCAGGCTCGTTTCTTGGCTTATTTATCCCTTCTTATCTGGGAGCTGTGTTACTTGCACTTATTTCCAATAATCTGAAGCATGGAGGATGATTCTCCTTACTTTGACCCCATTATCTAGCAGACAGACTTGCTCACATTTATAACAGGCATAATTAATTGTTCCCCTCCTCACAAAGACATCCCAAGAGCTCACTGGAAGATTGTCTCAGTTGTGCACACTCAGAAGTGCATTTTACTTAAACTTCTGTACAACCTGGAAAGCAGAAATATATTTAAGGCACCATCCCCCACTAGGAAAAAAAAAATCACATCTTGTACACTGTGTAAAGCATTTGATAGTAGCCAAACACTGAATCAATTCACTGAGGGAAGCAGGGAATTTACCTCTAAAGATTGGTCACTTAAAAATAGATAAGATGTTGAGCTATGCAGTTTATCACTGGCACACAGCCTGGAACCTAAAAGAGATAACATTGTGGACAAGTAACACTTCATTAAAAATTGAAAATATATTACTTGCATCAGTAGTATGTTCCTTTCGGCTGCTTACACTGGGTGTGTAATCTCTATGACAGTGATCCCAGTGAAGCAGACTGGGGTATATTTTGCAGACTAGTGAAATTACATAAGCTTTTGATTATATTTCCCCCCCAAATATTTATAAGGTAACAACTGCCAATAATTTGAAGCAACGGCTTGAAGAGGACAATTAAGGTTTCGAGGGTAGCCAGACAGGCCATCTTAGAGACACCAGATTTAAGCTGCTAGTAGTCTGAATGAGTTTTTAAGGGAAGCTTTCTGTTAATTGACATTCATTGCCAGAGATGTGATTTTTCTCTGTGCTTTCCTGGGCTAATGTTTGGGGTTTATGTTTGGCATGATCTAATCAGAAATTAGCCAGAAAGAGTGCCAAAGAGAGAGAAACTTTGTACTATGAGCTCAACACCAAATAAAAACAATAGCAGTGTCTCAGGGCTATTTTCTTAGAGATTTATTGGGCCTTATTAAATTTGGAAGCAGTCAAGAAGAATACAACAGCTGTTGTGAATCTCAAACAAAGCAAAACAGCCTCTTCTCTGTTTTCCTCCTTTGTAGCTTCCCTGTAAGCTGGTAAACTCTCTGGGCAGGATCTGTCTTACTTAGGCTTACCCACTGGAAAGCAGTGTTTACATATGCCATGTGATAGCAGTAAGAATAATCCCCAAGATTTGTTTTGATTTACTTCTCATTTCAGGGCATTTAGGAATAGCTTCTAAAAAAGAACCTGAATGGTAAAGCTTGCAAAAACTGATTTCCACAAAACCAAAGACTTCAGATTTGTTTTCTATGCAGTTTCTGCCAGCTCCCACACAGAAAATCTTCACTGAGGAATCCTTAGAATAGATTTAAAAAGTGTAAAAATGATGCTTAGTAACAGATATTGGTACTCATTTAAACTTATGCCTCTGGAAATTCTTAAGCCAGCATCCAGTCATACATGTAAAGGCAAATGTCCATGTGCAATATAATTTTAAAAGAGTAAACACCAAAACCAAAACTTCTTAACACAAACTTTAGTTTTTGACATTTTTCTACATAGAGAGTAGCCAACCAATGACCTGAAGGTCAAATGGAGGCCGACAGGAATTTAGAAAAAAAATTTCTTAATTATCTTAGCATCATTGACTAATAAGGTGTAACATTGTCTTTTCTGCAACATATTTGAGAAGCTTAGTCGAAATGAGTAAAATGAGTTTACTTGCTACACCAAGCATTTCAAGTGATATAAAAAAGGGTGATAGCACTTAACACATAAAGTTTACAAGAAGAAACTTACCTTAAGAATGATTACTCTGAACTTACAAATGCAGTTTAACTGTTTGCTGAATGGTGGAAGTGATGAAGGTGGTGCATTGGACTTGAGCTCTTAACTAGTTAGTATTTAGGAGAAACTGGATTAAAGTCTTAGGTTTCAGTTTACTTGAGTGCAATCCCATGAGTGTCACTGTATCAATCAGGGTCCCAGAGACAGGGCATGACTATGTCCCTAGCCCTTCCATGCCCCACCCTACTCCCCCCAAAAAGTAAAAAAATCAGGATGTTTTGCACTGTCCATTGCTTTGTGTTTTAATAAACAATTTGCAGTGACAAAAAAAAAAAAGACTTTTTTAACCCAGGTATTGGAAAATTTTTAAAGCCAAAAAAGGAAGAAGACACTAAAGAGATTGGAAGAAGCTACAAACATTTTTAGCCTGGGCGAGAATGAGGTTGAGGTTAGAGTAAGAAAATTTAGAAAGAGGAGGCGGGGCACCAGAGAATAGAAACACTGCCATCTCTGCGGAGAGAGTCTCTGGGCATCTGCTACTGGTGTCTCAGTACTCAGAGGAAAGAGACTGCACAGCTGGAACTCAAACTTTGCAAAAAGGGCACCTGCCAGCTGTTGCTGGAATCTCTGAAGGGGCTGGAAGAAGACAGTTTAGGGAGTATTGGAAAAACAGCAAACTGACATACCTGCTGCTACTAGGAAAAAAAAAAAAAAAACCTGCTACCAGAGTGAGGTAGAATCGTTAGGGTAATAATGAGAGGGGAAAAAAATCAGGCAAGAAAATAAACAAGAAGGAAACTGTCCCTTCTTCATTTCCAATCTCCTGATCTCTCTCTAGCATCTCTTATAAGCCAAGTGCAAAAGGGAGTCAAGTGGTAAAACAGAAATGCAGTTTACAGAATCCCAGTCCCATCCTCTCAAAGCTGAGTATGATTGGGTGGGTTAGCTTCTAGCTTAGTATTTAACACAGTCACTGAAACTTGATGAAGAGGCTCACCGTATTGCTTCCCCAGGTCAGTCTCTTTTTGGAAGTAACTTATCTCTGAGATCTCCAGTTTATTGACTCACCAGTGGTTCATAATATTGTATTTTTTACTGACACAATAGAGTAATTCAACACAATGAACTTGAAACTACCTGAGGAAAAAAAAAATAAGAACATTGCAGTTTTGTTTCAGGAAGTCAATGCCTTCACACTCAAATTGTTCATTTGGATTGGGCCAATGTCCACCAGAGTCCATTGCTAAACTTTCCTACAGTCAATGGAACAAAAGTTACTGAAGAACTGCAATTCAATGGAAATGCAGTCACAAATTTAGGGGAGATTCATAATCTTTGAGCACAAATCACACTTTAAAATTCCATGAGAGCTTGTGGAGTATGAACCTTTGTATGTGACTGAATTGTCAAGTATCTGCCCTGTCATTTCAAGATGATTTTATTGTGCCTAGTAGAACTATGTCTACTAGGGTATCCTACAAACTTTGGATATAAACAATGTAATGCAGAAATTTTAGAATCATTCTAGAGCACTTGTTCTGTAAAAGTATGTTCTTTCTCAACAATAAAACCAAAATTTGATAGTCATCTGGTGATTATCTGAATAAAAATGAGTGCTGATTTTTACATCCTCCAAATCTTGAGAATAATATTTTTTATTAAATTACAAATAGAACTCTTGTCGAAAATTCAAAACTTCAATAATTAACCATAGAATTGTTTTTATGAATGAACCAATTAAACAGTCTTTGATAAACTGTTTTCATATTACTGCCACAAATATACATATATATGCTATGGATAAATAGCCATAATCATATACAAGGCCCCAGACAATCTAAATCCTTTGAGACTAGACTTTTTCAGAAGTCAGAAGTTTTATGACTTCAGAACAATAATATGACACATATACTCAAATACTATTTGCATATTCACATTGGCTAAGCTCAACAGACTACAAATAGTCTCATGTCCATGCATACCAAATAGGGATTTACAAGGAAATCTTTTGATATTTAGAACATGTAAGGTTTTGGAATTATGAATAAAGGTGGTAGATTTTCTACATTATTAACTATTATCATAAATAAACTATTATAAATCTAAAAATGGGTATATCCAGTCATTGTAATCTCTAATTATGACATTGAGAAAACTTCATAACTGTGACTTTTAAATAGAAAATATTTTTTTTGCATGTTTGTATGCAAAAGAAGAGAAGTTAGCTGAGAGTCAAAATAGGTGAGGTAAAAATAATAGAAGTTATAAGAACACGAGCAATAAAAACAGGAGGGAGATCCTTACATTCATTTATCTTTAACTAGCATTTGCTGAGCAACTTCTAGTTACCAGAATTATGCCAGATATGGACAACACAAAGACAAATAAGACTTGGGTTCCTGGCTTTCGGAAGACTTCGGTATAAAGAAATACAGAAAATGGGCCTCTCTGGTGGCACAGGCGGTTGAGCACAGTGCTGTGAAGCTGTCCAGAGCCTCTGCAGTGACGATTCGATCCCCCTGGCCACGGATCAACCCACATGGCGAGTAGACCTCTCCTGTCTCGCCTGCTGCTCCCCTCAGCAGTGTATTTCGTCAGTCTGCCTGTTCTGTTCCCTGCTCTATCTCTGGTGAATCCTCTCACCCTCCCGCGCATGTGGCCTATACCCTGGTTCTTGTATAAATAAAATAAAATCTTAAAAAAAAATGCAGAAAAAGTGAAAAGTAACCCTAGAACAGAATCCCACCAAAGTACAGTGGAATAGGGGGGTGAAATAATTCATTATTTTGAAGAAGGGAGAGTCAAAATATTCATAGATAGATGAGTGCCTGAAAAATAAGCAATTATTCTTCATTTTGGTATGGGAGAATGGAAGTGAAAGAAAAGATTACTTTTAGACTGAGAAACAGTTTGAGCAAATGGCTGTGAGACAGTGAATCAATAGACAATCAATAGCATAGATGAAGTCATCACAACACCTGTGCAAAAATCTTTTGAGTGCCTACTATGTGCTATACTTGCACTGTACAGTATGATTGCCATTAGACACTTGTGGTTCTGGAGCACTTAAACTGTGCCGATTCGACTGGTGACAGGTGTGACTGGTGTAACTAAGTAATGAATTTTTTATTTTAATTTTTTCTTTTTTTTTTTTTTTTTTTTTTATAGAGGCATGCTTTATTTATTTGTTTGCTGGTTTCTTTGTTTGTTTTGTTTATACATGCACTGGGTACAGTCAGAAGCGCGGGAGGGCGAGAGAATTCACCAGAGCCAGAGCGGGGAGCAGAGCAGGCAGAAGGACCGAAGTACACTGCTGAGGGGAGCAGCGGGCGGCAGGAGAGGTCTGCGCGCCATGTGGGACCCTCCTCCGGTGGCCGGGGAGCAGCCGGGGATCGAACCGGCGCCGCAGAGGCCGCGCGCAGCTTCGCAACCCAGCGCTCAACCGCTGCGCCACCGGGGAGGCCCTAATTTTTTCTTTTTTAATGTTTATTAATTCATTAAAAATAACCAGAAGAAACCCTTTGTCTGTTAATAAATAACATATTTCTTATAAAACAGCAATATTTTTCAAAGCACTTAGTGATAAGCCACCCAAGGATTTATACCATTCTAGTGTATCCATTCCCTAGTTGTACAGGATTCTGCTGC